GCATAATTTTGTTAAAATTTTCGTCGTGATTACTTCTGAAGTTGTTTCGAGTCTTCTACATCCGTGAATGAATTGATTGATGTTAAGGACAGCAGATGGGTCGTATACGCCGAGGAGGCTATTGCTGAGAATGAAATGCATACGGAGATAATTGTTAGCTGCGGTCCGACACGCCGGGGAGAAAGAGTGTAAACGACTGAGGCTCGCATACGTCACCGTTACTAGAACTGAGGAAGAATGAGTGACAAGCGATTGCAATGGTCGATTTTCCCGCTCAACCTGGAGGACAACTGTACAATCCAATAACTCTACGGCCTGGTTCAGACAATCAGTTTAATTATATATATGTATCAAATATTAAACTGTTGAAACATTATTAACTTGTAGACAATTTAAGATTTATCATTATACCATCCTTGCTCGTGCCTGTAAAAATGTCATGCATTTTCATGTAAATTTATGTTCATATGAAAATAAATTATTATTATTATTATTATTAGTGAGTAGATAAGAGGATGTGCGTAGAGTATCGTGGGGTGGTGCTATGGTCACGTTGCATTCTGCAAGAGTCATTCTAGCAAGTGGCGACTGTGTTGCAAGAGGATGTGTCAAGAGGATGCCTTTAAGTGGAAGGCGCAGGTCGTCATTGATGTGTGAGATTGTGCTGTGAGTATGCTTGTGGTGTGTTGGCTTTTCTGTTTGTTTTCCATTTCAGCTCTGTCCGTGTGACCCAGGTTCTCGCAATGGCATCCAAGTCAACGTGTATTGGTGGTGATGGAAAAAAGGGATGGATCCGTTTTTTGCCGGGGAGTGTCAATGTAGTTGAAGATTGAACGATCAATTCATGGTTGTTTGCTCAAAACCAACTTCCCCAATTTTCGCGGAGGCATCAATACGACAGTCATCGTCTCATCGATCTCTGTTCAGAAAGAGGTCAGCAGAAAACCGTCAGAAACCTTAGTCATACGTCATTTATATGTTGGTGTGACAATAAAGAATCCTCGAGTCAACAATTGGTGTTTTGGGTTTTACTTCCGTTATTACTAAGCGTTTCTGAGAAACTTCAAGCGACAGAGTGAGCCCGAGCGTAGCAAGAGCTGGGCATTAACGTTTTATTTGTCGTGGCTGTCATACGGTGTTCCGGAAATGGTGTTTGGAATTGATTTTGAAAAGCACATGGAGGAGATCGCCGTCATCTCGGATTTCACTTGGTACTTTAGGAGCAATCTTAATTCTCCGGCTACTTTGCCCATCTCATCTCACGCCAATTAGCCCTCAAGGCTTCAATGTATCAAATTCAAATCCCAGGAACTGTTGGTCCTAGTACTTCAATGGTGGTATGAGGCCAAGAGGGAAATGGTAGGACCTATCCGATGCTGCCAAAGCAGATCTAGAACAATAAGATGGTAAACTGAGCCCTTAATACGTTCCTAAGCCTCAGTGACACTAGAGCGATGGGGTATTGGGAATAACTTTCAGTGTCACCCAAGTGTCCTACCTGAATCCAAGGAAAAAACAACACCGGTCAGTTGCATCGAAATCGGCCAATTAGTACAAATATCCAGTCCCCTACCAGCAGGCAACGTAATGTCAGCCACTCCACGACATGCTGAGGTTGTCAGACCCACTGTCAACTGCCTTCATAGCAATGTTGGAAGGCTGTATGGAAAGCAGTTGAATTCTGAAACCTCCAGTCACACCATCTTAAAATAATCATCTTCACTGAGACCTAGTTATCCCCCACTATCGCCGACAACTAAATAACTGATATGGTTCTGGTCAGGCGAGTTAGGGAAAGAAGGGCGAAGGAAATCGCTATATATTTTGATCAACAACATAAGAATGAACGTGCAATGGACGCACCACTTATCGAAATCCCCAACTCCATGTTGTGTTACTTCACCTTAGGCCACACCAAGCATTTACTGGGTGGCATACACCGGTCACCCACCTATTGGACACAGCACTAGCAGCTACTGCTCAGCACCATCCTAGGGATACAGGACTTGGTCTATGACCAGATCACAATAGCTGGAGATTTTAATGCCCCATCACTGAACCTTGGCTCGGGGTATGCTCAGGAAAAATCCGGTCAAAATCCTTTGCAAACGACTGGAAATATAGGACTTGCTGAAAATGCTGGAGACGACAGTAGGTGGGCCTCTCTGGAAAGTCATCGAAACTGGATTATATACTAACAGGGGGCCATCTAATCGTCGAAATGTTTCATATCATGACTCCACTAGAAATCGGCCATAGGATTCAGTCCTGTTCTCCATGAGTACTTGCAGTGGGACGCTACGTGGCCATGTCTGAGCAATAACAAGGCGGACTATGCTGGAATGCGGAGGCTTTTGTTCGACGCAGAACGGCACTTAGCATGGGATGATTTATCTGTGGATGAGCACTGGGAAGTGGTAGGGAGATTATTCACACAGCAACCTAGGAAACCATCCTTTTAATCGCAACACAACCTAAATAATGGTCATCATGGCTGAAGAGAGGTACTCAACGCAAAGCGGAAGGCCTGGTTTGCGTGGTGTATACTGAAGAGTAAGACTGACCACGACGCATAGCTAGAACTCGGGAACCTGTGCAGCTTGAAAGTCCGGAGTGACAGGAGGTCATTTCAAGCAACCCTTGCCAAAACTACTCTTGGCGAACTCCAAAAGCTTGTATCGATTCATGTCGGATAGAAAACTAGCCAAAGGGCATGCTTCCTAGCAGGCCGAAAGGTCAGTACCTCACTAGTCTGGAGATGACTGTAACATTCTGTTTAGCTTCCTCCCAACAGTTAAGCAGCAGTGCGGATATTACTAGTATGGACCGAAATGACCGCACCACTATTTCGCCGGGGGAAATCCTAGTGAATACTCCCCAAATACACATGGTAATGGTACTAGGGAAGCGACAGAGATTCACACCTAGAAAGTCTCCAGGTTGTGATGAAATCAGACCATCTGTTATGAAACAGTGCGCCGGAGCTCTCTGTAGGCCCTCATGCGACTTGTTCCAACACTCGATTGGTTCGGGGAAACTGCCAAGAGAGTAGAAAACATCCACCGCTTCTCCGATTTTCAGGAGCGGGTACTGCCAAAGTGCCAGTGGTATCAAAAAGCTGAAGATTATCATTGATGATCACACCAAGGATCACCTCGATAGGACCTAAAGACTCCGTGAGGCAGGAAAGGTAGATCTCCCGTAACAAACCTGCTATCAGCTTGGGACGATTGGACATCATCCTGCTATATGAATGTTCCAGTCTATGTGATCTTCCTAGACTTTGAGAAGGTATTTGACACAGTTCACCATGACCTTCTACACAAAATAAGTCAGGCAGGTATAGGTGAGCCGCTTCTCTCACGGCTGAAGGACTGCCTAGCTGAAAGTAAATTTCGCACTAAGGTCAATTGAGTCCAACATTCTTGGCGCAGCTCGTCATCATGAGTGTCGCAGGGTTATATCCCGGGGCCACTGACGTCTTTGATTTTTATCAGTGACATACCATGCCGTCTAAGCTGCCCGACTCCTGTATACGATGACGACGTGAAGATATGGGAGACAATGAAGTGTTCGGAAGACTCAGCTGCAGGAAAATCTAAACCTGCAGAATGCAAGTTACGCCCTGTGCAACGAAAGCCAATCATGCAGCGACACAGGAACTGCGTCTAAATGGCATACACCCTTAAAATCCCATACACCATTCAGGGGTAGACAACTAAATTCGTTGTTTTACTTCATCACATTATCTCCCGTCTTACTCTCCTGACAAATTCAGCCACCACACTTATAATTACTACTGATATTTATATATATATATATATTAAATTCAAATTTAGTTAGCTGTCTGTTTTTACGTTTTATTTATTCCTTTTTCTGTCTTTCAGCCTGAATAACCTACACTATTTATATCCATTATTATCATTTTTTTGATGACGATACCGGAGGACTAACTGGTGAGAGGATCAACTCCATTCATGGTAATAACAGTCTACACACACCGCATACTACAAATAACATATAACTAATCCCAACACTACTCCGTTTGCAGTCAACCAATGCTACTATCTATTTTGATTTTATTTTGATTACATCTTGATTTTACACCGTAGTTTTTGGTACAAGTATGGAAATTTTGGCATGTGATATCGGTAGCCCAAATTTTGCAGGCCGACCGTAGATATCATATGTGCGTCGGCAGGGAGTTGAACTCCGGACCATGTGGAGATTTTTAAGCGGAAGCTAGACAATCATGCAGAAATGCAAGGTTTGTGTCTCAATGGCTTATCCCCATAAAACTTGAAACCACACTGTCAATTGATAAGCGTACAAACTAAATCCCCGCGACCTATTCTTCCTTCTCTCACTCTATCTTTTCCTTAGGTCACCTTTATTATTCCACTTATCTCAACCTATATTATCTACACTACAACCCATTATTTTTATTCTTCTTCTTATTACTACTATTCTGCTTTTTATGACTACACCGAATGACCAACGGGAGTTAGGTCAAACTCCATTCACGGCAGCAATACAGTCCTAACATACTGCGTACTACAAACCACATCTCGACCAATCCCCGCACCACTCCTCCTGGAGTCTACCAGAGCTAAGGCAGTCGAGTGGCGGGACTTACTACTCAGAAGCTCACCGAAGATCTGGAACCTCTACCTCACAATCAAGAAGCGAGCTCAAAGAAATCACTGGTTTATACTAGCTCGTAATCAGGATATTGGATGTGAATGGTCGGCGAAAGTCTTAACCGCCGTGCCACCGACGCATAGTCGGGTGGATGGGCGAACCACGCAGAAGTTTGCTGAAGACCAGGAATCTTTACCTCTAAATCAATGGAAGAGCACAAAGAAATCAAATTGGTTCATAGTAGCTCGTAAAAACGTTATTGGATATTGAAGTCGGGATAAACAAAACGCAAGCACTAGTGCGAAATGCTGGCTCCAGTTTAAGGTCAAAGTCAAGAGTATGGGTCACGAATTGCTTTAATGTTTAAACTGTAAGCCTTTCTTGTGTTTCGACCAGTTCTGATATTCTAAATATTATACTTTGTGTATTTATACCTAAACCTCCGCACAGTAGGGTAATAATTATGGAGCAACTTAGTGTGAAGGATTTAAGGAACTGCATAATATTATGCAGTTCCTTAATACCAGTATATTTATAAATATACTGGTATTTTCTCAAAAACTTTAAAGGCTCATTTTATTCATTAGTAATTTTATACTAGTGCGTATAGTCCTATTTTGGCTTAGGCATTACTATGTAGTGGAAATTTCCACTACATAGTAATGCCATTAGCTTTTAACAATTTTAACATTAATGTTAAAATTGTTAAAAGCTAATGAACACCTTGTGGAGTCGGAGTATCTCAACGAGTTAATGAATACTATCACGTTTGCAGTTATTTATTTTTTCAATCCCTTTTCGGAATGTGAAGTTCAATGTAAACATGGCACGAATGAAGATAATGGAATTAGAGTGAAAGTATTAGAATTAATGGGTAACAATTATTATCATAGCAGAGGTGAAAATGCAGACGGCTATATGATTTTCTTAGTCAGTCATTATATATGTATAAGTACACAGCCTGTATATCTGTAGTTAGTGAGGGAAGATAACCCGAATCCTCATAACAACTAGGAAATAGCGTTTGTTCACATAATAAATTGTGGGACTTGGAGTGAAGTATACAATGATAACAAATTATATTAATATTGAAGAAAGTAGCCAGCGAAGGTAGCTGTGGATAATTTTTCGTGACACGCTGGCCAAATATCTGACGCGTATTGAAGAAACGACTGACTTCTTATTTGTGTTGAAAATCCGAATCTTGTTCTTTATGCTGTTTGCTGAAGATTTCCAGACTACTCTCAGGTTGACGAAGGCATATCTTGCTTTTGCAATTCTGGTTGGCTTTGGCATCATCCGTTCCGCCTGTGGTTGATACTGTGCTTTCTGGATAAGTGAAAGATGTCACCTCACTCAATTCCCTCTCGTTTTGATGATTGGTGCAGGTTGTTGTTGCTATTGGTCTCCGTTTTTCTGTGTTCACTTGTAGTCCTGTCTTATCTGCTAGCCTCTTCAGCCAGTTTGTTGTTTTTCACTTGCAAGTTTTCCAGTTTGTGTCACATTAGACAAAAATCATCTGCGAATTCCAGATCTTATCTTACCAACGTATTTCTGTCTTCTCATTCCCAAGGCACAGTCTGGTGCATAATCTAGTCTACCACAATTAAGAATATCTTCGGTGATAACAAGCAGCCTTGTCCTTCTCCTGTTTTCAATAAAAAGGCTTTACTGAGTTTTCCGCTGTGGATCACCTGATATGCGATATTGTCATATAACTGTTGAATGAGGTTGACAAAGGCTTGCGGTACGCCATATTGTTGAAGTAGTTTCCAAATTACATCTCGACCTATAGTTGATTTTAGAAATTTACCTACTTACGAATTATCTAAATATTTAGCCATGGTATTTAATCCCCTTAAAAGACGCTCAAACTCTAGACTAACAAATTCTTATGATTTCATCATGAGCTGACATTAGTTAGAGAAAAATAGGAAAACCTGGGAGTACTGGACAGCCGTTTCGTCCTAGTTTGGGACTCTTCAGCAGTACGCACCCACCCATCACTTGAATATCAATGAGATGCTCACTGGCGACTGGCCCTATTCAGGTAGGTAGTTACCTGGGTTCCAGTGGGAAGTCGTGACCAGTAGGGTGCAGCCGGTCGGGTGTGAGGACAAATACTCGCCGAAGACATTGACTAGCGGTTGCGCTATGTCGTGAATTGGCAGAAGTTAGAATTCAAGGACCATTGGATCGGGTCCCAGTGGCTTAATGGTATACGAGCTCGCCTTGTAACCGGAAGGTCCTTGGTTCGAATCCCGGTGGGTGCGTACCGATGGAGATTCCCAAACTAGGACGAAACAGCTGTCCAGTACTCCCAGGTTTTCCAATGGTTCTCTAACTAATGTCAGCTCATGATGAAATCCTGAAACAAATCAAATCCCTACAAACCATCACTTGAAATTCTTATGAACTAAAACATAGATTAGATAATTTAAAATTAGATAATCAAGAAAAAATGATTAGTTTTGACATTGTCAGTTTATATACACGTATATCAATAAATATGACTATAGAGGGAGTCAGAAGCGAACTCATTTCTAACCAAGAGCTCGAACTTAAAACGAAAGTGCCACTCGAGGACAATGCTGGGAGTGCAGCTATGTCTGACTTCCACAGTATTTAAATTCCAGGGGAAAATATACAAACAAATTGAGGGAGTTGCCATGGGGTCACCAATATGCCCGGTTGTGGCAGATATATTCATGGATAGGTGGGAAAACATAGCGACTGAAACGTTCAGCCCCACCCCAAAAGTATGGTGGAGGTGTGTAGATGACACATTCACTGTACTTAGAACACAAGATATAGATAGACTTTTCGAGCACATTAACTGGAAGGTAGAGGCAATTCAATTCACTTATGAATTAGAAAGTCAGGAAGATTGTAGCGTAAAAAGGAGGGAATATGGGAAGTCAAACACTGGTGTTTACAGGAAACCTATACATTCAAACGTATATTTGGACTTCCGATCATACCATCCTATCTCAGTGAAAATAGGATTAGTGAAATGTTCAAGTAATAGAGCACAAAACTAAGTAGTACCAAGGAAAATCTAAGACAGGAAGTGAGGCATATAAGAGAAGCTTTGGAACTTAATATTACCCGGATAAATTAGTCAGAAAGTATGTAGGGAAATGTAAAAATAAAATAAATAATGATAGTAGTGATAGTGATGATAATAATAATAGTAATATTAATGACGATATGCATATCAAACATGCGCAAGATGACAACAAAAATAAGGAATCTAAATCATCAGTAATAATTGCATACAAGGAAGGAACCTCGGGAACTTTACGCGGAATTCTTAACAAAGCAGGAATAAAAGTGGCATTCAAACCCATAAACTCAATTAAAAACAAGCTTTGTCGGTTAAAGGATCCTGTGGAGACTTTAAAACAACACAATTTAGTTTATCTAATACCCTGAAATAATTTTCAGGTCAAAGTAGTAGGACAGGTGCAGTCCAGACTAGCTGAGCATAAAAACCTAGCAAAATCTAGATTGGTTGATCCGAATAAGATAAGAAATCTAGAGAATAGTTCAGCCATAGCACTACATGCAATTACACGCAACCATACAATAAGATGGGATAAGATGACAGTTTTGAAATCTTATGTCATAGGGTGAAGGGAGAGATTGATAATGGAAGCAAACACGTGTAATAGGAATGATTCAACACCCCTACGATAAATAGGAGAGAACAAAGAAAACTCAAGTTTCGAAGTCGTGTGATTATAATTGATATAATTATGAACAGTGAATTTTGTTCGAAACGTCATCCAGTAAATAATACTGTTTCACGGTGTGATATATGTAATAAGCAAACTGATATGGAATAGCTGCTCATGTCTCATTGCTTCACTAACGATAGTGATGAAATATTAACGGTGAGACGTGTATAACTTTGAAGAACAAATATTTTCCCTACCCATCCAGAGGTTCAAATATCTCGTATTATTGCCACCAGTCAAATCAGAAGAAGATAATAAATAATCTTAAAATCCTATTTCAATTCAAAACATTCTAACAAGTAACTTATTATGACTATAAAAGAACACTCTTATAAAACATTCGTATTTCCCATATAATCGTAATCGGTCAATAACACTCGTACTATTATTTCTGAATGGACATTATCTCACATTGATTTTAAACCAATATCTAATCGACTCCACACATGTATAAAAATGAAAGAAAAAAGTTGTGTGAGTTACTTGTGATATGATTATGAGCTATAGTTTGTGCTCGAAACGTCATCAGTTAATGTAACTGTACAACACTGTGTGAATTATCAGAATAAAATCGTATCCATAATGGAGTTATAAATTGGATGTCCAATGAATAAATGTCATCCTTGTATTTACTGCCAGCTTCATGCGCTAGTATCTGGTAACTGACGAGACTTTTTACGTTTTCATCGAACTTTCAGTTGTGTGGATTCTGACTTAGAGTCTAGTTACAATGCTTCTTAAAAGTGAGTGTATCATTCATGTATTAATCCGGCTTGGAAGGTCTACTCGAAATAAGTCTTGACATTATTTGAATCTTCAGTGAACGAAATAATCCCATATTGAGTCATAAGAAAAAGCGTAAACAGCGACGATTCACTTTCATAAGTTGTACAATCGTAAAGATATTTAACAAAAAATCATAAAACCAATCAGATACCGGTAAAATTTGTCCTCGGAAAAAGTATTAGGTAACGTAAAGTGTAACCTAGAAGGGGTGACAAACTGGAAGTTAGATAAGAGGCAGAAGTTGACATTATGTAATAAGTATGAGGTAATGACTAATCAATAAGATTGTGTAGAAAGGACCGGAACTAGCACGATAAGTCACCGTAGAACGTGAATCAAACATGGTATTTGCATTTTTCGATATACTACTTACCAGAAGACAAGACCGTACGATTCAAAGATCGATATATTGCAAGCCAACATGAATGGGACAGTTTATGAACTTCTAGAGTTTATGAACTGACCCTAAAGCAAAACCTGGTACGTACAGTAAGTTCGAGGATTAGAAAAATCTGTTCGGAGGATACAATAGAGAAGGAATTAAATTCATTACGTGAAACCCTACTAGTGAACGGGTATCCACCAAGATTCTTAGAAAAAACATGAAAGAATAGCCTCCGTCGCCAAAAATCACAACTGTTTCTAAGAAAACTTCATGAATCTGAAATTCAAAGGTGACATCGAAGCAGAAATCCTTAGGAATCGCTTTTTAAGTGTCTGAAGAAGATATTTCAAGCAACCACCTTAAGCATCACATTCGCCAGCAGTCTAACTTTATGGATAAAATACCACTTTTGGCCACCTCAATATGTATTTATCAATTTACTTGCTCGTGTGGAGCAAAGTGTACTGGCCGTACGCAACGCCCAGTCCACAAACGTATTCTGCAACATTGTCCAACTTGGTTAGCCAGAAGCGAAAAGAAGAATAGTAGCAGTTCTATCGTGGAACACTTTGTCATCTCTGAACATCGAGCACCCACATGAACGCTTCACAGTGCTACACAGAGTTCCTCAATATTATACAAAGGGATTTTGGATACGCCACCTGTACATGGCTGGACCATTAGATATTCGATATCTGAAACCGGACCTCTGCATTCAAAAGCGTTACATGCATTCACTAGTCCTACCCTGGTCAGAGTAAAGATCTTACTATAATTTCACTTCTTTTCTTTTATGTAAGTTTACTATTATTATTTTAGTATCATTATTATTCCCGTCATCCATATTTTATGATCACTCTATTACTATTTATTAATAACTGCGTTATCATACAGATTTTGTATGAAAACACTTTATCATCTTTGCACTAGTCCCTGTCCTTTCTACACAATCTTATTGATTAGTCATTACCTCATACTTATTACATAATGCCAACTTCTGCCTCTTATCTAACTTCCAGTTTGTCACCCCTTCTAGGTTACACTTTACGTTACCTAATACTTTTTCCGAGGACAAATTTTACCGGTATCTGATTGGTTTTATGATTTTTTGTTAAATATCTTTACGATTGTACAGCCTATGGAAGTAAATCGTCGAAAAGAAAATTTTTTCGCTGTTTACGTCTTTTTTTACTGTCTGAATCGTAGATTTCATTTGACCTATGTATTTGGATTATATAATGGTGTCATTTTTTTTCATCCACATCTGCTAGAAACGTCTTCATCTCAGTATGGATGAACATCCGCATTCATGTACTGAACACAAATGTCTTCACCAGTCAACTTTTCAAAACTTGGACGAAATGGATTTTGAAAGGGGGATATGGAGTGCTGCGGTACGTGGCGACATACTGCGTATTAAGAAGCTGGTGGCAAGACACATTGATGTTAATATTCTAGATAAATATGGATATACAGCACTAGTAAGTTAGAACGTACTACTGCATTTATAGCACTATGCTGCTAGAAATAACCACAAAGATATTTGTGATTTGTTAATAACAACTGGGGCAAATATTTTTGCCAAGACAAAAAGTGATGGGGCTACACCTGCACATCGTGCTGCATATACTGGACGACTGAATATCTTGCAGTTACTTGTTGACAAAGGTGGGGTCGCACTTTTGGAATTCGGTGATGGTGATGGAAGAAACTGTTTGCATCACGTTAGTTTATATGTTCACCATGCGTAGTTAATCTGCCAGTTTTTTTTAAACCTAAAACGTACTTATTAGGCATTTTGTTAGTGTTCTTATACTTTATTTAACCTATGCACTTTTTGGCTTAACAACTGATTGCACTCATGTTGAGCTTGGCTATATTTATTTCAGTAAGTGATTATGCCACTGTCTTCAGATATTAAGTGAATCCGAGTTGAAATATCAACTTCTTAGGGTTAGAGTACATATAGCTGTCATTCTTAACTTCAATTAAATAACATAATTATTTCAGCGATGCAAAACAAACAGACCGATGTGAAATCATTCTATTAATTCTTGATAACTGCATACAACCCAAACCAATCAGAGTATTAATATCAAAAGTATCTAATTAATTAGCAGGAAGATGGATCCTATCTATATATACGTAATTGGTATACCAAAATCTGTAGCTCCTTACTTTCTATCCACTGTATTTAAAATGAGGCAATCACAGGTATTTTCAGTATTGTATGGTGATATGTCGTGTTGCATTGTTTTTAAAATTCACATACACTTATTAACAGTATAATTCCTATCATTTTAGGCGTACCGTGGAAATCAGCAGAATGTAATAAGTTGGATATTGGAAAATTATCCTCATCTTTCCACAATGGCAGACAACAAAGGTATTCTACCCATCTCTTTAGCACCTAGCTAGTTGTATCTTGTATTTGTATTCACATGTAAAATCAGCTGTAGAAATATAACGTGCGAGAAAACGATATATTTTTATTCCTTCACGTTCCCCAGTGGAACATAGGGCTTCAAGCTAGTGGCCTGAAGATTCTGTAGCAGTGTTTATGTTACCGGATGGGGTTGGTAGTCTCATGCCCAACCTTTCCTTTTTACCAGCATTATTTCTGGCTCAGTGAGGCAGGCGCTTTGCCACCGACGCACACGAGAAAACGATATACTTGTTCTAAATTTGCTGTGTACTAATTTGTATTTTGTCGGTATGTGATCTTCGAGAGTAACCGGTCTTAGAGACTGAATACTACTTAGCCCAGCTTGTCATCGCTTGCACTGAGATGTTCATAACTCATATGCAGTAGAACTTGAGTTCTACTATGTTCATAAGGATATCATCCGTGATGAAGACAAGAAATTTTAGCCTTGTGTGGTTACACAATCACCCCTATTATTGGTGCATGTTACTTTCCAGTTGAAGTTAGTACTGACTACTCATGCTGAGTATATTCACAACGACGTATCCTGGCCACTTTTGTAACAATGGACATCTGAAACCAGTAAAGCACTTCTGTCTTAGGTGATATTCAACGATTGCAGACACTTGTTGACAAGTCCCAAACTTAGGTTTCGTATACAGTGTTCTTCGTCAAAAAGATAATTTAAAACAAACCAGTGTGTTTCGGGATTCGTACCTGCATCAGTCAGAGACGTCACTGACTAAGAATTCAATAGCGCGCGATGAGTTTCAGTGAGAGTGTGTTGCTTTATTTCATTCATTGTGCGAGGGCTGAGATACTGCCCGGGCGCCCAGACCGAAGCAGGTGGTTTTATTAAGGGACCACCCCCGAGACTTTGACTTGGAGTCTAATCCGCAAGGCAGCGGAGCAGTGTCAGGAGCTGCATGGTTGCCGGTGACCCATATGGGTCGATACGCCATTCGATCCGATTGGATACTGGAGCCCATGTGCCCCATGGTAACTGCTTTTAGTTTAACCACTATGCAGAAAACCTTCCTGACATGGTAGGACCTGCAGGGACAGAGTCCCAGTCAGTTTAGCTTGTTGGGTCATTGCGGTATTCAAACCCGACCACCACCGCAAGGTAGCAGTTATCGGCCGCGCGCTATTAACAATGATTTCAAGTAACATTGATGCCTCAAGTAACTTGTCTTTCCTACCTTACTTTTATTTTTATACATAGTTTCCTGTATTTTACCTTTGCTAACCTTCGACTGCCTTTGTCGAGATTCCCAGCCTATCTGTGTCGTTTCGAGATATTAGTGAGTAATCCTCAAAATGGTTGTCCCCAATGTGACATCTAACACAGATATCCTGAAACCGCGTGCCGCGTTCAAGCTGGCCACCTACAATGTTCGGACGCTGATGCAAATCGGACAACAGGCAGGGTTGCTAAGAACTTTGGAAAGCCTCGCTATCGATGTCTGCTGCATTTCGGAGACCCACATTCAAGATCCCAGTGAAGTCCTTCGACTATCCTCTCCATCTGGAAGTTCTAGTAGTATGTACCACCTGCGCTTGTCCGGGGGCCCTGTGGCGTCGTCATCCGGCATAGCTGGTGTCGGTGTCGCACTGAGCGCTAGAGCCGAAGCTCCATTGCTCGACTGGATTCCTATTAACAGTCGTTTATGTGCTGTGAGGCTGGAAGGTTATACGAAAGTAAGGAGTAGTAGGCCAGATAGGCGGTGTCTATTTGTTGTTTCTGTCTATGCACCGACGGATTACGGCCCGGATGCAACGAAGGATGAGTTCTACTACCAACTGAGTGATCTCTTGAAACAGGTGGGTGGGAGGGATGTCGTAGTGCTGGCTGGGGACTTGAGTGCACAGGTCGGGCGTGTAAGCTCAGAGGAGAATCGTCTAGTTGGTCAATGGGGACTACATGGTAGTAGGTTAGATAGTGGGAACCGTCTTCTGCAGCTTTGCGCGGATCACAACCTATTTCTAGCCAGCACCAACTTCCGGCACAGCCATCGCCGTAGCGCTACCTGGCGTCCTCCCTCTGCGAAGCAAGCTTGGACTCAGATTGATCATATTGCGGTCAGTTTCCGGTGGCGAGGATGCATACAAGACTGTCGCTCCTTCTGGAGCACATGCCTGGACTCCGATCATGCGTTAGTGTGTGCCAAGTTCGTCTTGCGATTTGGTGGGGTTCGTAAAAGCCGTCGTCTAAGCGTTGATGTGAGCAAACTAGTAGCACCTGCTACTTCTTTGAAATATCAGAATGAGTTAAAAACAATGCTTGCCAGCAACCCCCCAAGTAGTATAGATGAACATTGGCTTCATGTGCAAGGTGCCATGCAAAAGGCGAGTGTAGCCGCTTGCGGCTTGAAAGAATGCTCCGCTAAAAACCACTGGGTTTCTGCGAGTTCCTTGCAGAACGCCGGTCCATTCCGGCTGGCAGCGAATACAACAATCAGCGAAAGGCGCTCACGCGCAAGATTAGACAGTGTTTACGTAAGGACCGCGAAGCCTGGTGGTCAGAACGTGCGTGTGAGATGGAGTCAGCTGCTGCATCTGGCAACAGTCGGAAGCTGTTCCAACTCATACGAGCCACCGGCAGCAAGAAACAAGGTGTCAGCGAGACGGTCTGTGAGGCAGATGGCACTCCAATTACCAGCCTGAAAAGACGCCTGGAACGCTGGGCAGAGCACTTCGGGAAGCAGTTCAGCTGGCCACCAGCTTCAGTGTCTACTATCATTAGCCCGAGTGCTCCTTGGTCGGTTAGTACCGACCCACCCACCGAAGCGGAGGTCCGTAAGGAACTCCAAGTTCTGAAACGCCATAAGGCGCCCGGCCCAGACAAATTACCCCCGGCTCTTTTTAAAGATGGTGGCGAGACTCTCACAATGGCTCTAACTGGGTTGTTCAGGAAGGTGTGGGAGACAGAGAGTGTACCATCAATGTGGAACGAAGCCATTATCGTCCCCATCTTTAAAAAGGGTCGACGTAATTCGTGTGACAATCATAGGGGTATCAGTCTGTTACCAGTCGCGTCTAAAATATTGGCTGCTGTCTTGCTTCGCAGACTGTGCAAAATACGTGAAGGATTGATTCGCGAAGAGCAGGCTGGGTTTCGTTCAGGTCGTGGATGCATTGATCATGTGTTCACCCTTCGTCAGTTGTTGGAACACCGCCACACGTATTGCAGGCCAACGATCGTTGTGTTTCTTGATATTAGGGCTGCCTTCGATTCGTTGGACAGAACTGTGCTCTGTTTGTTAGAGAGAGGTGTACCTGAGAAATTTGTTAACATCTTGAAAGCCCTATACAGAAACACCTCAGGTAGAGTGAGGGCATACAACCAACTATCACCACTGTTCCCAACCAACAGTGGGGTTAGACAGGGTTGCCCAATCTCTCCATTTCTCTTTAACTTTGCCATCGATGACATTCTGGAGTCAGCTCTGAAGGATGTGCGTGAAGGTGGTGTAGATCTGCTACCTGGAGATAGACTTTTCGACCTCGAGTATGCAGACGATATCGTCTTACTGTGCGATAGCATGCAGGCTGCCCAAATCGCACTTAATCAGTTGGCGATCAGTGTCTGTAAGTATGGTATGTGCTTTGCGCCGTCTAAGTGCAAAGTACTGTTACAAGATTGGCAGGAGCCTGTACCTGCACTCACTCTTGCGGGTGAACCGCTTGAAGTTGTTGATAAGTTTGTGTACCTGGGTAGTTGTGTGAGTGCTGGCGGAGGGGTGACGGATGAGATTTCCAACCGTATAATGAAGGCTAGGGTGGCATACATCAACTTGAGCCCCCTATGGCGCCGTCGCGACGTTAGCCTGGCTGTCAAAGGTCGGGTATACAATGCTTCGGTGCGGGCTACCCTGCTCTACGCCTGTGAAACCTGGCCTCTCCGAGCTGAGGATGTGCGGCGACTCTGCGTGTTCGATCACCGCTGTCTCCGCAGGATTGCTTGCGTTCGATGGCATCATCGCGTGAGTAATTCTGAGGTTCGGCGGCGTGTGTTTGAACACAGTGGAGATCACCATTCATTGAGTGTCGTCATCTGGAAACACCGGCTCCGGTGGCTTGGACATGTGCTCCGAATGTCACCCCAGAGGCTTCCGTACAGGTCTCTGTTCGCTAGCCCTGGGACGGGATGAGAAAAGGCGGAGAGGTGGTCAGTCCATGACGTGGCGTCGTGGGATGAAGGATTTTTGTGCTAGATTAGCATCGGTTGGTGTGTCACGACTCCCTGGTTGGGGTCCGAGAGATAGCTCAAATCGATGGCTCGAAACGTTATCGGATATGGCCAAGAATCGTAATCAATGGCGAACGTGTTGCAATTCCCTTCTTTCTTCCCTTCCGGATGATAGTTAACGAATACTGTTTGAACTTGTTAAGCATGACTGTCTTCCTTCCAGATGAAGTTTTTTATCCGTTCTCTACTTGTATATTTTTCTTTTGATCTATGTCGTTTTATTATTATTGTGTGGCGTATCCTTCTTGGTGCCATATTGTACCAAGTTTTTTATGCGTTTAAATAAATAAATAAAATAAGAATTCAATAGGTACTAACTAGTGACAGATCAATAAATTTGTTTTAGATTTTAATGGTATTTTATCTCGTGTCTCTAAATGATCAAAACGGCATCAGCGGCCGGTAATACCATACAACTCTTTAGACTCATCGGGGAAACGGATTGTGAAAAACGAAATGGTAAGCAAAACGATCTCCCGTAACGTTAGTTTAATTAGCTCTCGCGATAAACGAATGGAACGATAGAGGGAAACCAACTGTGTTACAATCACAATAAATCTGCCCAGCATCCGAAACAAACTTGAGTGGGACGAACTAATCAGCAGTATGATACTACGTAGTGTGTGGAAGCCGTCGATTAACTAAGTATGTAAGAATGGATTAGGTTGACAAATATAGTATCAAAGTTCTAAGCGCTGGACATGAGAAACAAATCCCTGAAAATCAGGTTAGCTTCAGGCC